AAGAAAAAATAGCCACCAAATAGTTAGGCAACAAGTTGTGTGACAATTGTTTGTTTTTTTTTAATATAATTATTATTAATACGATATTTATTTTTTATCATTAAATTATGTTGCAATTGAATTGTACAGCAAATAAAAATGATAATCAATTTATAGTTTATATACAAATTTCATTTATTTATTTATTTATTTGTTTGTTTGTGATGGTGACGACATGCATGCAAAGTGTCACTGACATACCATCACTGAGATTACAGTACAGTATTAGATGACAGTGCTATTGATATATCACTTTTTATTTTATTTATTTTTTGCTGTGTGTGTGTGTGTGTGTGTTGTGATGTAATACCTGGATCTCCTGATTTTTTTTTGTTTTAAAAATAAATTTTATTTAATTTTAATTAATTTATTATTATTATTTGGAGATCATCTTCACTGATCATTGGATGAGAGAGAGAGAGAGAGAGAGAGAGAGAGAGATAAGTTGAGCAATGGTTTTAGTCAGTGATGATAGGAGAAGCCAGAGATGTACGGGTAGTTAGTTAGTTGAATGTTAAGGCTGTTATGTTTTTTATATTATTGGCGACACTCATCCCTAAGACATTAGTGGCTAAATTGCGTGCGTTTTTACATAAAATTGTTTGATTTCGTAAGCCATGCCCTATCCCATGACCTTATAGTCACAAGTAGTAGTAGTTTTTTTAGTAACAAAATTATTTTTTTTGTTTCATACACACAAAAAATAACTTATATAATAATAATAATCATTGAATAGCGCCTCCAGTTATATGACTTAATAGACTGAGTGAGTGAGTGAGTGAGTGAATGGATGAAAAATAATAGGACTATTTAGAGAGTGTCAATGAGATTCTAGAGGACAGTTGTTTTTTGTATATATATATATATATATATATATATGTATGTRTGTGTGTATGTGTATGTATATGTGTGTATGTGTGTGTATGTGTGTGTRTGTGTGTGTGTGTGTGTGTATATGTGTGTGTATGTGTTTGTATGTGTGTGTGTCTAGAATAGCAATAGTGATTGTATATTATATATCCACTAAATTGGACATTTATTCTCATATTTATTTGTTGTTGTCTTATTTTTTAGTGGTTGACCCTTTTYCTCCCTATCCCCTTAAAAAATATATAAATATAAAATAAAAACAKTCAAAGACAGCAAATTGTTTTATTAAAAGAAAATAATAATAATAATAATAATAATAAAGTAATTTTCCGATTGACTACTCATGTGAGTGCATATACAGTACTTATATRATATGATGATGACTTCAYTAACCCCTCTATCTCTCACATACCTACCTACCTGTCCACTCAATATACAGTAGTTATTATAATTAGATTTATATATTATACATTGTTTTATGTAWCCTTTCTTATATATATATATATACATTTTCTAAATGGCATTATTACTGTTTTATTATAGCTATTATTATTGATATAATAATGGCCTAACCATTTGAGTGCCCAAAATTAAAATTAAAATAAAATTGTCGCACACTTTCTTAATTAGCAGCAGAATATAAAAAAAAACTTTTTATATTATTTTATATTTATATTTTAATTTTTGAACTCCTTTTTTGAAAAAATAAAAAATAAATAAAAAGATTTATAATTTTTATTACAATAATAACWATGTCTATGACTTTTAGTGTTGTTGTTGTTGTCTTTTGGTTGACAACACTTAACAATTGGTGTCTTTCCTAACGTTTCTCTCATTAAATAAATATATATATATATATATATATGGTGTGTGTCATCTCATCCCTGTCCCCCTCTAAAACTCACATCCATTGCTATCATCTAAAAAAATCAGGATGTCTTTTGTCCCAAAAAATATATATAAATAATAATAATAAAAATTCGTTACTATTTATAATTTATATATATTATTTTGCGCTCAATTTTATCATTATTATTATTGCCATTTAAATGCAAATTTTGTAATTTTTTATTATTATATTATGTGTGTGTGTGTGTGTGTGCTTTTCTTTTCAATTGAAATTATTATTTTTTTCATAAATAAAAATTTATTAAATAATAATAATAATAATGAATAAAGAAATAATGAATTAAAAATCACTTAAAATTCTATATATATATTATATGAAAGCTAAGAGAGAGAGAGAGAGAGAGAGAGAGAGAGAGAGAGAGAGAGAGAGAGAGAGMGAGAGAGATGGGAGGGGGAGACCTAACTAAGAGAGAGGACTTGACAACTGATCYACAGGTTAGGCATATACTGTATATATATTGAGAGGCAGATACCGGTGTCTTGTATATTGACGTTAATAAAATAAAAACTTAAAGGGCTTTTTTAGGAGCTTTTATATATATATATATATATATTTAATATTTTGCATTTGATGACTGGGTATTATTATTATTATTAWTTTTTTSGGGGGATTGRGAGTCAAAAAATCATAATAATTTTTGTTTGATAGAATATGACTGTGCGCTTAGTAGTGTTGTTTGCCATTAGTAGTAGTTGTGCAGTTAGTTTTTAATACTGTATGTATATTTAACACCAGATGTTTTTGGTTTTATTATTWTTTTTTTTTTGATGGTTGGTTGGTAGGCATCACTTAATATATATATGTATATATACTGTATATATGAGATGATGAGTTGATGCTCTCAAACATTATTTACTGTATAKWWATAGTAGTATATCGACAAACATATGCAACAAAAATTAAAAGTAATTTAGTTTTTAAATATTTGATTTAATAAAACATTTTGTTGTTGTTGTTGTATTTTGTATATAATCACTATATTTTTTGGGTAAAAAATACATACACTCACACACACACACACATACACACACACAAAACCAATGATATAATATATGTGATTTGCACAGAGAGAGAGAGAGAGAGAGAGAAGAAAGAGAGAGTTCCCTCTCTCTCTCTCTCTCTCTCTCTCTCTCTCAACATTCCCAGACACTGATAATTATAGGAATATAACTAAATATTATTATATATTTGTTATATAATATTRTACTATATATATATATATATATATATATATATATAKATATATATATATATAAATGTATTTTAAGGCTCATAAATGCTCAGCACAACAAAAATTGATATGAGAGCTAATATAGTGTTGTATATATATATATATATATATATATATAGTTAGCAATAATATTGGGAATGCATTTTATTATTGGGAAAAACACGGCATATCGCAAAGTGGTTAACACTTTTTTTTGGTGTCTATTTTTTGTGTTTTATTTATTTATTGTTATTATTATTATTAGTAGTATTTTTTGTTATAAGTTATAAATTTATTAGACTTGACTTTTGCAGGAAAAAAAATATTTATGACTTTTGAAAATAAAAGTTTTTCTCATATATTTTTTTCAAGTCCATTATAATGTAGTTTAGTATATGAAGTGTACAGTATATCCAAAATGGTTTATCTATTTAAAAAAAATAAATATTGCCAGTGTTTCACACTGTGTGTGTGTGTGTGTGTGTACTGTATGTTATGTCTATGTGTTGTCTTAACCAACAACAACCAAAAAAAAACAAATAAAAAAAAWTTTTTTTAACACTAAAGAGATTTGAGAAAAATGTCTAAAAATATTTCTTTTGTGAAAAACAAAAAAAAATAAATATTTAAAAAAACTAGAAACTAAAAAAAAACTTTTCATCTTTTAACGAAAACGTTTAAAAACTTTAGACATTTTTACAATAAAATATAAATTAGGCGGTGCTGTGTGTGTGTGTGTGAGAGAGAGAGAGAGAGAGAGAGAGTTGTTCATATCTGGGGATATCTGGGACTTACATATATATATATATAWATAAAATCTTTAATATATGACCAGTGATTATACACAGAATATYATATATATATATATATATTTATATATATATATATATATATATGAAAAACGATTGACTTTAAAAGAGAAATGCATTTATGATTTTTTTTTTGTGTTATGTTATGTAAGAAGAATCGGTAGAGAAAGAGAGCTAAGAGAGAGAGAGAGAAAGAGAGAGARAGAGAGAGAGAGTTTATATTATGCTTTTTATTAGTATTTGCAAAACAAAATAAAATAAAAAAAAATAGTCCATTGAAATGAAATGATGGGCGTGAGAGTTAATATTTGACAGTTAAATTATTATGATTATCATACCTGTGCAACTCCAGTGCAACTGTTTTTTTTATTACTGCCATCCATCCATCTATCCATCCATCTATCCATCCCATACATACTGTATGAGAGATGCATGCATACAATGGTTTGGCCATTTTCTCTCCCTATTAAATACATACCAGTGCTGATTGCACTACCAGTAGATATGATGATGAACTCCCCAGAAAAAACCAGCCTTTTCTCTCTCTCTCTCTCTCTCTCTCTCTCACTATTTAACAAAAAAATTTTTGAAAATAAAAGTCAGACACCGATCACTTAAATTCAATTAATTTTCGTTTTATGTTTATTATTATTATTATTACATTTCTCTCTCTCTCTGTTTCTTTCTTTCTCTCTCTCTCTCTCTCTCTCTCTTTCTTTCTCTCTCTCTCTCTCTCTCTCTCTCTCTCTTAAAGTTGGCATAACTTATATCAGACATTACACACATAWAAATCAAATGTTTTATACCGTAAATGGCATTCAATTACAAATCATATTTTATTTTTTTTTTAAAAAAGCGCTTCACTTCTTAAATAATAATAATAATAATAATATGTTTAGATGAAAATAAAACTAAATAAAAAAATCAAATAACAATAAACATTATAACGATTTCAATTGTTAAAAAACTATCCATAAATAAATATATATATATCTATAATAATAATTTGTTTTTTTTTCATTTTCTAGCCGTAAAGACATATATTAKATATATACATATATAACAGGAGATACCAAACAAATTAACAAAACATATATCTATATATTTAAAACCAAAAAAAAGCAAAAAACAAAAATTATGTGAAACCAAACCATCAGACGATATGATACACTTAAGTGCCTCCGAAGCGGCTATAAGTAGCTCAAGAAATAAGAGGAAAAATTTTAAGCCAAGATATATATTGGCCGAAAACGATGGCCTCGACGACGACGAGGACAACAACAACAACGACCGRTCGTTTGTCGGCAACAACCGCGAGATCAACGACAATGACGACGACGACAGTACTACCGGTGATAATGTCATCAATAATAATAATAATAATGCTGACGATGACGACGACGACGACGACGATGATGATGATGACTGTGATATGGAAACGATGACTGGAGGAGGAGGTGGAGAGGAGGACTGATGATGACAAATGGCAAGTCKTTGTCGTCGTCGGCCTATTCATCAGCATTGCCGCCAGCGATGTCGATGTCTACCGATGATGACGACGACAACGACGACGTCCTATCAAATGATGGCTCCAATCGATGTACATCTACTGACCAGTCGGACGATCATCATATGCAACAACAATTGCAACAACAACTACTACWACAACAACAACAGCAGCACAATCCTCGCCATCATCAACAACAACAACAACACCAACAACCGCAACATCAGTCACAACCATTGGATCTGAGCCATCACGACAATAACGGATCATCACTTAATGGATTAAGTGGTATGTATTGCCCATTAAAATTAAAGAGAGWGAGAGAGAGAGAGAGAGAGAGATTGAAGTTTTTTTCTATACTGTAAATTAGATTTTCTTTGTCTCCGTTTTTATTTTTTTTAAAAACTTAACATTTCATTTCTATATATAATTAATTAGTTTTTTGAATGCAAAATCTTGTGGAAAAAAAATAAATTAAAAAATAATATATATATAAGAAAATATTATATATATATAAGATTGAAAACCACAAAATAGAAATAATGATAATAATAATACTAATACTAATAATAATCAAAAATTAATCTTAAGTTATGGAATGTCAGGAATAATAATAATAATAATAATAATACTTATATAATATAAATACTAATAATATTGTGATAATATTTTTTTCCTCTCTTTCTTTCTTTTTTTAAAAAAAATATGAGAAGAAAAGCACAAATATAAGGAAAATAGGAGAAAATGATGAGAGAGAGAGAGAGAGAGACTATGTGTATGTACTGTATGTATGTATGTATCTGTGAGTGTGTGTGTGTGTGTGTGTGTGTGTGTGTGTGTGTGTGTGTGTGTGTGTGTTTATGAGGGGGAACGGTAGGGCCGGCAATAATTGGATGGTTTTTTGAAAGATTTTTCGTTGATTTTCTGACGTGAACCAAATGGATTAGTTTGCCATTTGATAATGTATTAGTGGTATTACGTGATGCCATCATTCAACTATAGCATAGATTGCATGATCTACCTGTGCTCTGTATGTGTGTGTGTGTRTRTATGTAAGGGCATMCAAACACACACACACACACAAAATCAAGATATTTATATATAAAATACTATATTTTTATTATAACTATATATATATATAAATCTGTAGTCATGTGAATAAAAGACAAAAATGATAATCTCTTTCTTTTGATAATTGCATTTATATTTATATATATATATATATATATATATATATATTATATATAACTTATATATAATATCTGCGAAACAAAAAAATAAGAGGCGAAACAAATAATTTCTTCTGTAAAAGAAATGAGAAAAAAATTAAAAGCAAAAAAAATAAAATAAAAGTTTTTGCAGTAAAAGCTGTCATAAAGAGAGAGAGAGAGAGAGAGAGAGAGAGAGAGAGAGAGATGTGTGTGTGTGTGTGTGTGTGTGTGTGTGTGAAATGTGTGGATCACTTGAAGATGAATTTGATTTAAAACTAAAGAGAGAGAGAGAGAGAGAGCAATGTTATGCAATCAATGTTATTTGGGATCAATAAGAGAGTTAGAGATAGACTACCTGTTAAGCCATTGCCAATGCATCAACAAGTGCTACATATGAGAGAGAGAGAGAGAGAGAGAGAGAGAGAGAGAGAGAGAGTGTGAAACAACAAAAATCAATCGGTATAGTATGGCTATGGCTATGGTATGTTAGGAGCTACAAGTGCTAAAAATGCCTACTATTTTAATATTGAATGCCATAACCAAATGTGCTATAGGAGGCATGACCTATTATTAACCTTTTTGTTTGATACAACAATTTTTCCAGTAGTAGTAGTAGTAGTGATGTGTTTGGGTAGTAAAAGTCTATATACCCTGTACTATGCATAACACATATGTATATATATATATATACTGTACACACATGTAGTTTGCAAGGGGTGTCTCTCTCTATCTCTACTTGTCGGGCGTGGGAAGGACTAGTAGTTATGTTTTGTGTGTTCAATACAACACAACCAACAATAATATGCATTAGTTATATATTATATATGATGTGATATAACTTTAAAAAAAAAAAAATAAAATAAAAAACTTTTATTAAAAATACTTTATAAAACACGTATAGTCTTTGTTTATGATCTCTTAGAGAGAAAGAGAGAGAGAGAGAGAGAGAGAGAGTTCAAAGCCAATGCCCTTCATTTCATTTCATTTATTTATATATAATATGATTGTTTAATACCCTTATAATAAAAATATATTAACCTCCCAGTCCTCCCAGTAGCACAAGTATGTGTCTATAAATACAATATATAATATATATATGCATTGTCTACTAAATTATGAATACATCACTTGGAAAGAGAGAGAGAGAGAGAGAGAGAGAGAGAGAGAGAGAGAGAGAGAGAGAGAGAGAGAGAGAGAGAGAGAGAGAGAGAGAGAGAGAGAGAGAGAATAAAAAATGCTTTGTAATTAAAATCGACTCTTTTTTTAATTGTCAGTAAAACTAATAATAATAATAATAATAATAATAATAATAATAGAGACAGACGTTTAAAGCATTTCCACTAAAATAAAATAAAAATATAAGTAGTTTTTTATTGTTTGTGTCAAAAATGCATTTATCATTTGAAATCAAAAAAATGACTTGACTTTTGATATGTTATTTGTAAGATATCACCAGTTATTGTGTATACTGTATGTATGTATGTATTTATTTATTTATGTATGTATGTATGTGTAGTGTATTATTATATAGAAAAATACTCTCATAAATATATTATTGTRTATTATATGGTATTATACTCACTATCGACTCTCTYTCTCTCTCTCTCTCTCTCTCTCTCTCTCTCTCGGGGCAAAAAAAGGAACAGGAGGTCAACAATGGTATTACTTTTCATAGAACATATGCCTATTAAGCACTGGGATGTGTGTGTGTGTGCAGTATAAGGTGTTTTCACTTTCACTTACACTTACACTCTCTTTCTCTCTGTCATAGGCTATCAAAACGAGTTATAAAATTTTTCTCACAATAAGTATTTAAAAAAAAAAATTTCCAGAAGTTTATGTATTGAATTGATTTATTTTATATAAAAATTTTTTAATATATTATTATATAGTTTTTTTTTTGGTCATAAGATTAACGATATATTTTCTTATAGAATAATACAATTGATGATTGAATTTTTAAATAATAAATAACAAAATTTTTTAGTTTATTTTTTTGTTAAGCGGACAAAAACATATCCATTAATATATCTATCAATAGTTCAATACAACAACACATATGAGAATATCACTCAAAAATTCACGCTTTTTAACATTTTTTATTTATTATTATTATTTTTTTTGATGAATTAATTTGTCATATTTTGTGTTTAAATTTGTCGTTTTTCTATCTGAAAAGGTATCAGACATCTATAGGTGCAGTGTATATGCAAGAGAGAGAGAGAGAGAGAGAGAGAGTGAGATTTAGAGCACTGGTAGGCACATACATAGCACTGGTAGTATGGTTTGCAATATTTCATGTTGACATTGTGTGTGTGTGTGTGTGTGCCTCACAATCTCCTTATTGCTGTCAATATAATCATTAGTCAATTCACTGGGTTTACACACACACACACACACACACACACACACACACACACACACACATAGACAACAAAAAATACAGTTCAACACATCCCTCACACACTTACTTACTCTCTCTCTCTCTCTCTCTCTCTCTCTCTCTCTCTCTCACCATCAAAAAAACCATCTCATGCCTGGACACACACATACTGTGGGCTCAGGGAGGAGAAAATGAGAGAAAGAGAGAGAGAGAGAGAGTGTTCAGGCAATTGATTATATTATATATATATTTATTAATCATCCGTTAATTTATTATTTTTTCCACCAAATTCTTTGACGTTTATTTCTTACTTAAATATTTWKTTTTCAGTTTATTTTTTTCTGTATTAATAGCAGCGAAACAAACAAACAAAAAAAACTAATGAAATATTATTTTCAATAATTTATTTATTTTCCCACAAATTAATTATTTTATTTCTGAAAAAAAACTAAAATGATTTTTATAACTCAATTATATATTTTTTTATTTTTGTTGTTGTTTATTGATAGTTAACAACAACAACACCATCGATGATGATTCAAGCGATTCCAGCGAATCTAACGGTGCCTACACTGGCCGTAGTGTTGTCGTCAGTGRTATCGGTGCTAAACCTGGTGGTCGACAACTACTAAAACAACAGAATCTAGTATTTGGTAATAAAATAAAATCAACAAAAAATCTAATAAAATACAAAACGGAAACACMAAYTGATGATAATTTTTTGGACAACAATWCGTTTCGTCATAAAGTTTACGATAGTATACCCTCTAGTCTTCAATCAATTTTCTTGTCACCCAATCATCGATATAACAACAATAATAACAACAACACTACTAGTAGTAGTAATGAACAGCCGATGCCACAGGTAATTGACTGACTGACTGACTGGGACTGATTAGGACAGTCCGATATATTAATTAGTTAGACTGTTATCTTTAAAAAATATATATATATATATATAACTTTTTATTGCCATTTTTTACGAGTGCTAACCGTTTTATGATTTTTATCTGTCAATTATATACACACATACCATACCATACCATACAGAATATGTCATCGCTTCTGTCGATCGCTGCACTGGGAAGTCATTTAAAAGGTTTCTCTTCCGCCGCCGCCTCCGTCGCCGCCACTGCCGACCACCGAAAGCCGACTACAAGCAGCTCATGGAAAAAGTCTTCATCGTCGCTGTCGTCRTCATCGATGGCCAACTTGGGTCCGGCGCCATGGATTGACAAATCGTTTTTCGCACCGTCCTCTTCATCAGGCAATTCCGGTATGCATTTCCTGTATAATATTACCCTTAATATACATAATACCAGGGGTATGGTGAGGGGGGTATTACCGCATAATTTATTGTAGGGTATATACCGCTTATGTATTATGTATTATGTGTGTGTTTGTGTGCCTTATATAAGATATAAAAATACGGTATTATTATTATACATAGAAATATTATATATATAAAATATGATTTTAAATATTTGAATATTTTCTATCTCTAAAATGTATTATATATTGTATATACAGTGTAGTAGTAGTAGTAGTAGTATAGTATTATGACATATTTGTGTGAAAAGTTTTTTGAGTGCATATTTTAAAAGATTTTTTTGTGTGTATTTGTATTATAATTTTTATTTTTAACAAAAAAACATCACTTTTTTGTGTGCATAATAATAATAATAATAGATTCTTGACTAAAAAATATTGTATTTAGCTATCTATTTATTGAATGAGAGAGAGAGAGAGAGAGAGAGAGAGAGAGAGAGAGAGAGAGAGAGAGAGAGAGAGAGAGAGAAAATCGTTTGGTGGTGTCTTTGAAACCATTGAATTTGAAATAGTTTTCAGTGTGTGTTTAAACTAAGCGTTTTTTTTTTGGAGAAATGATATGAAAATCGTTTGGTGGTGTCTTTGAAACCATTGAATAATCCAATGGCACTCTCACTGGTGGTAATAATCGCTTTTTAGGGTGAATTTATAATAATATATATATATATATATATAAACTGTATTACTTATATATATATATATATATATTTTGTTGCTATCACTATAAATGCCGGTATTGTATGTAATGATAATAATATAATACCCCAATAATATGTATAAACGTCGGCATATATATTATATATACAGTACAGAGTGGTTATGCCACTCAAGGACGACCTGAGCTGAGCTGTTGAGCCCGAGAGCTACTATACCGGTGTCTATGTCTCTCTCTTTCTCTCTCTCTCTTTTTCACTCACTCACTCACTCAGTCTATGGCCTATCTATTAGGAGGACATTGTATTTAGTTAGTAGTAGTAGGTATGAGGGGTAAAGAGGGCCACAAAAAAAATTTCTTACACAACACAYACAAAAAAATAAGAAAAAAACTTTTTTTTTGTTATTATTATTTCTCTCTCTCTCTCTCTCTCTCTCTCTCTCTCTTTCTCTCTCAGTAAATGACATTTCATTTCACGAAAATGATGGATAAGATTCCGCTCTTAAAAACTTATAAATATTATAAAACAAGTTTAAAAGTTTACTATACTGTATATATATATATGTGTGTGCAAAATGAAAAATATTTCAATTTATTATTATTATTATTATTATTATTATTATATATATATATAAAGTTAAGTCAAGTTTTTCGTCCGTWTTTTTTAAAAGAAAAAACGGGATTATATTTATAGCTTTATTCACAAAAGTATATAACAAATATGTTAGATATATATGTGTAAAATATGATATTAAACAGTGAGTGAAAGGTAGGTTAGGCTCCTATATGTAAGCTAAGAGTAGAGGCGAATACACACACATATATATATATATATACATCCCTTTCGTCTGATTACTTATTGGATTCCCATACCTGCTGTTCACTCAAATAGATTGTTTCCCTTATATAATGGTATATAACCTGTAGTATAGTAGTGGTATAGTAGCCAAACTGGGAGACAACCATTGGAAATGGCATCAAAAAAAATGTTAGGTTTATTTTTTCCACCAAAAAAAAGTGATTAATTAGAATATGTTTATTAGAAAGTTATAGATTGAGAGAGAAAAAAAACAGACAGAAAGAGAGGTATTTCCAAGACATACCAGTGCCTTAAGAGACTAAATGACTGCCAGTAATATATATTATTAATAAAAAAAATTATTATATATAATAAAACACTGTACCAGTGAGAGACCCCATACCACACCTGTTTCCGTATTTACATAAACTCCAAGCGATTATATTCCCACACTATAAGAGAGAGAGAGAGAGAGAGAGAGAGAGACGACCAAATCGATTGAATAATAATTTTTTTGGTGTTTTTAGCAATTTTTTCTAAACGTTTTACTATTATATTACTATTACTATTCAAAACCATTATTATTAGTATTATATTTTTATCTTTGAATTTTTTTTTCAAAAAAAAAAGTTTCATTTGTCAAAAGATTAATTGTATTTCACATTATATATATATATATATATATATATATATAGATTTCTCTCTTCAATTTGGATCTCATTTTTCATTTAGCTGTCAAATGTTTGAAACATTTAAATTTTTTGACTTAAAAAAAATCTTTAAAAAATCACATAATATAATAAAGAAATACTATTACTATTACTGATRATAATAATAATAATGTTAAAGAAAGAAAAATAAGCACAAAAAAACTTTTTGCTTAAAATAAGAGAAAATATTTCTAAAAAAGTTTTTATTTTAAATGAATTACACAAAGAAAATGAAATTCATTTATCGTTTGTGTTTATGAAGTTTATGTATTATTATTGATGTTTTAAATATGGTTTGTGTGTGTTGAGTGAGTGAGTGAGTGAGTGAGTGAGTGAGAGAGAGAGAGAGAGAGAGAGAGAGAGAGAGAGAGAGAGACTGGGGGCCAACCAAATAACTTGAGCACAAAAAAATGAGTCTAAAAAGAGCCTCTTTTATAAATGATATGAAAAAACAATACATTTTTGTATTATTATTATTATTATTACACAAAAAAACTATATTATATATATATATATATATATATTTGTATTTTTCAGGAACATTGCCATCAAAAATTGATTCATTGGTCAAAAACACCGGACCTGTTGACTATACCAGATATGTTAAAAGGTATTAATCTATTATATATATATATATATATATATAAAAAAAAACTTTTTAAAAAAATTTAAGGTTAACTTATTAAATGAGAGACACAAAGAAAATCTAAACTAATAATAATAATAATAAATAAAATTTCTTTATTTATTGTTAATTGAAATTCTTTTATAACATTCATTTTTTTAACAACAAAATAAAAATAAATAATAATTTTTATTTTTAATTTCACTTTTGTGTGTAATTTTTGTTTCGCTTTCTTTWWTAAAAAAAAAAAAATTCCTATCACTCACTCACTTAYACACAGTTTTATTATTATTATTATTATTATTATTACATTATATGACAAACAGAATTTATATATATATATATWTWTATATATAATTACATTTTTAAATATATATATATAAATATTTTTTCATCTCTCTCTCTCTCTCTCTCTCTCTCTCTCTCTCTCGATATATCATAAATATTAGACATGAATTCTTTATAATAATAATAATAAAATGAATAATCATTTACTATTTATTAGTATATATTGTATATATATATTCAATACAATTCATGTAATCAACAATAAGAATAATATTCTGTAGTATTTGTGTCCCAAAAAAAAAACTTTTTTTAAAAACTTTTTTGTTGTTATTAATTATAATTATTAATATCCTATTATTATTTTTTTTTGGTGGTCACACCACCATCACCACCACATCATAGATACGTAAACGCTGGCGATTGTGGCTATAATTATTGCAAAGAACTTAACTATAGGGAACACTTTCATTGTATGGATTGTAATTCCCGGGTATTTGTCAAAAAGGAAGAAATGATCAGACATTTTAAATGGCATAAAAAACGAGACGAATCGCTAGTACACGGGTTTATGAGATACTCGCCCTGCGATGACTGTTCCGATAAGTTTCCCAATTGTGCCCATAATAGAAAACAGACACATTATCATTGTCTTAAACAAGGCTGCGATAAGGTATGTCCTAATTTTTTTTTGTTGAATAAAATACAACCTCTCACTCACTCACTCACTCAGTAAACCATATGTTATATATGTTATACAATGTATATCCGATGATGCGCTCAGTTATTATGCATTTAAACTGTGATATCACTTATAATAATATCATATCATATCATATATAAAGTGATCGTTTCAATCATTTTTTTTATTATAAAATTTTATTTTTCAATTGCAATGTATAACTAAAATTAATAGTTAGTCAAATGGCTTTTATTTTGTTGTTGTATATACTACAGTATATAATAATAATTTGTATTCAAGTTATGTCATATTTATATCAATTACATATATATGCAATGTGTGTGAGTGTGTGTGTGTGTGTGTGTGTGTGTGTGTGTGTGAGAGAGAGAGAGAGAGAGAGAGAGAGAGCAGACATTTGATGGACATATAAATTGCATTAATTGAAAAAAAAATCAAAAAACAAATTATTTGAAAATTATAGGATTTTCAACATTTTAAAAAACGAWAGTTTAAAATAAAATAAAATAAATGCATAATAATTTTCGTTTAAAACGTTTTATTATTATTATTTTTATTGAACAAAATGTATCCAAAAAAAAATATAAATAAATAAAATTTTTGCAATAATTGCAAATTGAATACCTTATAAAAAATATTTTTTTTATTTGTTTAATCMAAACTATTATTATTGTTATTTATTTATTTAGGTATATATTAGTACATCAGATGTACAAATGCATGCCAACTATCACCGAAAAGATACGGCTATTATTCAGGAGGGCTTCCAGAGGTTTAGGGCAACCGAGGACTGTCTACTAGAGTCCTGTGCCTTCTATGGCCAGCGAACCACACATTTTCATTGTCGCCGAGACAACTGTAACCATACGTTCAAAAATAAGGCCGATATGGGTAAGCATTTATGGGATGTTTTATATTTAAAAAAAAAAATTTAATTTAATTTTTTTGTTGTTGAAAAATCATTATTATTAAGTATTAGTGTTGTTATTATATCAATAGTATCACTACTAGTCATACTAACAATAACTAAGAAAAAAAAATTAATCTATCATTACATAGTATAGTTGTGTTATTTATTTATTTATTTTTTTAATATTCAACAACATTAAAAAAAWATATTAAAATAAATTAAACATTATAATAACTTGATATGTAWAGGTAATAYATATTAAAAACTAGATTTATTAAAATTATTATTATTATTATCAAYTTTTTTWWAAAAAGTTTATTTATTATTACATATTTCTATATACTGTATATATATTGTAATATTCTATACTATATAATACTATATACAGAATATGTGAGAGAATAGTTTAATTGAAATTTTTTTTTTTAGTTACCAACCATTTGATTGATAAAATATAAATCTTTTTTCATTATTATTATTATTAATATTATTATTATTTATTTCAGAGAAACATAAATCATATCATATAAAGGATGAGCAGCTGAATCGGGACGGCTTCAAAAAATTCATGAAACATGAGATCTGTACGTTTGAAAGCTGCCGCTTCTCCCGTGTCTGCAATCATATACATTGCATACGGCCAGGTATTACCMCCAAAAAAATTTTTTTTATATATATACCGTATCACTACTAATACTAGTAGTAGTAGTGCTTTATTGTACAAACATATATATATATATATCTGATCTAATATATATATATATATATATATATCTGATCTAATATATATCAATATTAATAGGCAGCAGATATTAGTAAGGGTATCGTCATGTGGTTTGTTAAAAAAAATATTTTAAACAGTATATCAAATAACTTTATATATAATAAATATATCAATTTTATATACAATTTTCAATATATATATATATAGTCTATCTAAATATTATAAAGTTATTTAGTTTAGTTTAGTAGTTATATCTATGATATAAAGTTATTATATTTAGTATTATTATAATAATAAAAAATGATTTTCCCATATTATTGCCTATTATTATTTACCGCATGTAATTCACATGAAGTTATCTATCTATCTATTATTATTATTATTTTGTTATTATATAAAGTGCGTGAGCGCACATACACACATAAGTTACATAATGCACACACACACACACATACACACATACCAGTGCAACAACAGTGATTAGTTATATACAATATATATCAATATATATGATAAGCAATTTAATCTATATTTTTAATTTTTTCATATATATATCTCATTTTTTAAATTTAAATTTATTTTTCAATAAAAATAATAATAATAATAAATAATTAAATCAAATAGGATGCGTCTATGTACTACATTCAAGCGGACAGTTATACTCTCATAAACGCAAACATGAGCGCCGGGAAAACGAACTGGCCTATAGAAAGTTCCGATTGGCCCAGAATATGCTACGGGCACACAATCCCGATGCCAGTATCAACTTTAACTTTGGACTATTAGACGTAAGTGGTGTCACCCATATATATATATATATATTGACATTTACCCCCCCCCCCCTCCCCATCATCCACGGTTCCCCCATCCCATCAAAAATATTCAAAATACTATAGATATATACAAACAGAGAGAGAGAGAGAGAGAGAGAGAGAGAGAGAGAGAGAGAGAATGAAAATATCCATAATTTATGTATAAATTTATAAAAATTAATACCCAATACATATCCGATAGACGATAGACGACTAACCTTACAATACTGTACACCGACCTATCAGACACACACACTCACACACATACAGTACACACACACTCACTCACTCACACACAGTTAGCTATTTATTTAGGGGGGGGGGGATAGTAAGTTATTCATATTTATTAGATTATTAGCCTAAATGATTTAAATTTTTGTATGTGTGTGTGTGTGTCATAAATATATGCCAATAAATCCCAATATCCGCTCTCATATATTATATGATATATTAAAGCCTCTCTCTCACATATCACTCAGGGATCAAGTGGTGACAAACCTATATATATATGTATTGATTATTAATAATATGTATATTTGAATAATTTATTTTATTTTTTCTCTAAAAGTGCATTATTATTATTAAATGACCGATTATTTATTTTAAATATTTATATATATATATATATACATCCCATCCCATCCCATCCAGGGATCAAGTTTTGGTGGCGACGATGACAGCGACAAAAGCAACGCAATGATGAACGAAGCCGAGGCACTGGCCAGTCAGCTGCCGCTGACCCAGATCGGTGCCATACCGTTGGAGGCCATTATCGGYGATATACCGGAAAGCAATTGTCTGCAAATGTTCACAAAGTAAGCGACAATTTTTTTTTAATTTTTTTTTTTAATCGTTTGACTAATAAGTTGTTATATAATACTTTAATATACCTATWATAATAATAATAATATTAATAATAGTTTTTGTATCTATGATTATGTCATGTATTTAATATTTATAGTATATTGAATTGAATAATCAATTTGCATTTAAAAAAAACCAAATCATTGAACTCATTGTGTGTTTGAATTATTTTTGTAATCACTAGTAATACAAAAAAAAATATATGAATTAATTATATGAATATATTTTTGTTTTTAATTATCAGTTATAAGAGTCGAGAYAACTGTGTTGTTGTTGTCGTCGCTGATAATGATGACGAAGAAGAAGACGATGACAACGACGACGACGACGACGACGAGACATCGATGACGATAATAACAGTCACAACAGCCGCCGCCGCCGCCGCCACCACAACAACAGTAATAATAATAATAATAACAATAAAACAATTGATTGCAAACTAAAAGGCAGTGAACATAATCATTGTAAACGATGCGACTATTATTGTACGGCAAATGTGGATCAACTCGTCAAACATGCAAAGTATGTCTACTGTTTGTGTGTCTAAACATTAATTATATGATAATATTACAAACAGATTGAAAAAAATAAATAAATAAATGTGTTTTTAAAAATATATATTTATAAATATTTAAATAATAAATTGTTTTTTGTTTTTTTTTTTTGAAAATCCAGAGCCCATATAACACAGGACGAGGCGACACCACTTATATTTGAGGAATCAGATGACGGAACCGTTTGCACTAAAGAGTGTGAACTTCACCAAAAGGATCGCCATTATCACTGTCGGATGGTATGTACTCTCCTCACACCTCCCCTCCCCCTCTCACCCCACACTCTATACACCCCATAAACTTCAATGCCTTACTACTCGTGAATCAGTCATTTAACGCTCCGTTACCTTTCTCTCTCTCTCTCTCTCTCTCTCTCTCTCTCTCTCTCTCTCTCTCTCTTGGACTCTCTTACCTACCTATCCTTAACTCYCTTTTATTTTTGTTTGTTTGTTGAAACAGTACGGCTGTTCGTGCGTTGTGCCCATTAGTGACACTTCGTTCAAGAAGTTAGACCACTATCTAATGCATGAACAACAGCAACAAATTAATTACGAAAACGAGTTGCAATCGGCCGCACAAAGTCCGCCCCCGCCGTCACCGATGCCGATGTCGTTGTCGTCGTCTCATCAGCCGTTACAGCACTTCCTCGATCAGCAACTAATGCAACCGTTTACCCAAACCTATCCSACCGGTACATCCATTACGTCCATCGATGGTCTGCCGATACTTAAGCGAAAGAGGGGTCGACCGCCAAAAAACGAGTTAACGAAGTAAGTAGTAGTCATCTATAGACTAATAGTATACTAACTATACATATATATAMAGTACCTACCGGTTCCCCCCACCCCTTCTCTCTCTCTCTCTCTCTCTCTCTCTCTCTCTCTCTCTCTCTCTCTCTCTCTCTCTCTCTCTCTCTTTACTTCACGATTAAAATCATTACTACTAATAATAATAAAAACATTTATTAACTTATATATAAAAAAAAAATTGTTAATTAAGTTTAATTATCTATAAAAAAATATAGAGAGAAATAGTTAATAAATTTCAAGTTTTTTTTCGATTAATGGATTAATAAAATTTAKTTTTATTACAAYATATATATATATATATTTCAAATTTTGCAATTAAAAACTACATGTATTTTCAATGCAATTAGATAGTAATAATAATACTAATGATGATAAATTATATACCTGTACTTAATATATATCAACAACAACAACAAATGTTTTAATGTTATAGATATATATATATATTATGTATGAGTTTTGATCTAAAACTAAAATACACATAAAACTAATATTTAAATATCATTTATAGTAATAATCTGTCAAAAATTAATGTTTTTACACTAATTATATACAGTATTAATAATTTTTAGTAACATTTTTAGTATTTATTATATATAACTTTTTTACCAACTATTATATAAATTGAATAAATTTAGTAATATTTTATTGTCATTTAGTAATAGGTTTTTTWAAAAAAAATTGTCTATTTTTTAATTAATTATCTAAACTGAATAATTGAATAATTACTTCTAAACYAATGTTAATTTATTATTATTATTATTTAATTTTTATTTTTTTGTCAATCAAATAAATACAATACAATAGATGCCGCAAACATTATATCCAAATCAATTTAAATTCAATACAAAAAACCACGACATAAGCCAACAACAAATACCGGTCCCGTTGTCGGCCATATCGCCGTTTGGTTTGGCAGCCGCTCTGTACGGCAACAGTAATCTATCGCTTCCGGCTTCGGCAGCCCTGTCCGATATGGTCAGCGGTTGCGGTGTGGGCGGTATCGGCGGTAATTCGGACGATACAAAAACCATACCGATTCCATTGATGCTTCCCTATACTAAATCGGACATTCAAAAAGGTTTTATCGGTTTCGATGATGGCCTACCCTGTACGGATACACTATGCAAATATTTTTGCCAAAAACACTACCACTGCTCGAAACTCAGGTGCTATTATGTAACCAATCGTGACGAAGCCCTGCTCCGACATTCAACCGAATTTCACGATAGTGTCGACATTCTGGACGGTTTTGTCTATATTGACCAATCGGTTGATTGTCGGCGATCGGGTTGCGACCATAAAGCTAGCCGACACTATCATTGTACCCGAAATGGTTGCAACTATTCATTTATACAGTACACCCAAATGCTTCAACACGACAACCGACACAAATCTGAAGACAATAGTAACCATAGTACGAGCACCGGCGGTATCAATGAGCCGCCATCGACAACAACAACAAATACCTACTGTGATACAACAACAACTACCAACCCGTCGTATAGCCTAAACCTTATCCATCATAACAATAGGCGGCATCGCCGGTCGTTGAGCGCAACGGCATCCCAGGCCAGCTCCGGCCACTCGGACGACGACGACAGAGATTCATTGCGCAACAATAGTAGTCCATCATTCAGTTTGAATCATCATCATCACCACCACAACTCATCCTCATCCACATCGCTAATCAATAGCAGCCGAAACCTTCACCATCACCACCAACACAACCAGCAGCAGACAACCGTCAAGGCTAGAGGAACCTACTATCCATTGTCATCCCTGAGCCAGAGAAAATTAAGTCAATCACTCGGTTCAACTGTATGTTTGCCTGTTGGGCTCATCCCCTACTATCTGAAAGCCTATTATCTGAAAGCAATACCTTAATTGATTGTTTTTAAAAATTTGTTTTTGTAGCGCAAACATCAAGATATGGATTCAAGCGGTGACGACGACGACGACGACAATGGCCAGGACTTTGGCGGTGCGGATGACTGCGATGACAGCGATGAACGACAGCTATCGTCACTCAATCTATCAGCAGCTCATCGTACAGCAGAAGCTCAACATCATCTACGACTACTTCAGCAACAATTGCCATTGAATTTGAATACTCAGCCGACATCAGCAGCAGCGGCGGCGGCCATCCATAAAAGTCTGTCCAAAACTACTACTGCAAGTAGTATAGAGTTTATGGGTTGCAATGAGAAACACCACCAACAGTACGGTCCTACCAATGGCTGTGGACTTCCCTTTTGTAAACTGAAAAAGAGGCAACACTTTCATTGCAATGTCTGCAATCAGGTTTGTGCACCAAAAAAAAAATATATTAAAAATTATAAAAAAAAAACTAAAAAACTAAAAAATAATAATAAATAAGCATTTAATTTACTGTAGATTTGTTGTTGTTGTTGTTGTAGTTTATATATATATATATTTTTTTTGAAATGCATTATACAGTATATATAAACTATAGATTAGTTAACATCTATTATATCATGTAAAATGTCTGTCTATTTTATGAATGATATAATGAGAAAATATTTTATTAAATTTTTTTTACAAATTATCTCTCTATATATATAAGCTTTAAATTATATATATATAAAATAAAAATATTTTCAACATTACATAACATAACTACAGTATAAAAAAAGTTTTACAATTGATTATTCAATTAAAGTAAAACATATTAGTTTTAATTAGTAATAACATAGCYATTATAAATACAGGTATACGTAATATATATATATAGAGTATAAAAGTAATAAATAAAATATTTTTATCGCTTTTCAAATGCAATTTAAGTTATGCATGTTTTCAACAACAAAAACAACAACAAAATTGGTGATTAAAAAGTAATTTTCTCTCCAAAAAAAAACTTTATTAATCTGTGAGACATAAAACCAAATATAYAGTATATATAATAGTAGGAAAAATACGGCAAAAATATGTTTTTTATTATTATTTTTCAATTGCCTCACGAATTATTTAATGAATTACTACACTATATATATATATATTAAATGTATTTCTCACTAAAATAAAAACTATTTTGTTTTATAAATACCGGTATAMACTGTATAGTATATAACCCCTACCCCCCCAAAAAAAGCAATGTATCAATTAATCTATTTAGTTTTTATTATTATTATTTTCTACCTAAATATTACTGTACTATAAGTTATATACAGTAAGTTATAAGTATATAAATATTTCCTAAAACAAAAATATTTTGACATTTTTACCGCAAAAAATAACATATCATTAAATTTTTTATGTTTGTTTGGCCTTAAGAAGTCTATTAAAAAAWATATATTAAACTTTTTATTTTAAAAATAAATAATAAAAAAAATTTTGTCTCTCAGAAAAATATTATTTTATCGTTAATTTATAGTTTTTTGTCCCAATTTTTTTTTGTTGTTGAGTTGGTTTACAAAAATCATTAAACTCTTTATTACTGTTATATAATAATAATAATAATGAAGTGAAATACTAAGTGTAATCTTATTTTATTTTCACGAGAGATTTAAATATATATATTTTTTAATATATATATTATTATTATTATTATTATTACTGTCTATAGCCATAGGGGCCTCAAAAAAAATTATTTGTAATATTAAATAATTTTTTTTTAAAATTTTAATTAATGAAAAATATTTACTAATAAATATTCTAATAAATATTTAATTATAAAAATATATAATAATTTGGATTTTGCTTTAAAAATATGTTGTTATAATTGAGATTATTATTTGTTTATTTTACTAAATTYCTAATATATATACTATATATARTATAATTAAATTAGTAGAAATTTTTTGAAAATATTTATWTATATAAATTTTTTGCGATTTTATGCGATTTTATCGGTTTTAATAATAAATATATATTTAGCAATTTATTTGCCAAAAACTACATGTCTATCATCACYCTCTCTCTCTCTCTCTCTCTCTCTCTCTCTCTCTCTCTCTCTCTCTCTCTCTYTCTCTCTCTACTCTCGACTCTCTATATGAATGAATGAATAGTTAAAAAAAAAGTTTAGAGATAACAAAAAATTAATTATTTTTTAATTTTTTATGTATAATTTTTTTTAATGTTATACTCTTTTAACAACATTAGTGAGTGAGTKAGTGAATGAATGAGAGAGAGAGAGAGAGAGAGAGAGAGAGAGAGAGAGAATATTTCAAAAATATCTTTATTCTCATGTTTTTTAAACAGTATTTTATATGTTTGATAATATAATTTGTGCCAAAATTTTTAAAGATCAGCCAAAAAATACACATATTATATAGATTTAGATATCAATTTTAGTACTGTTTTTTTAAACAACTATATGAACTAACACTCAAAAACACACACACACACACACACACACACACACACACACACACACAYASACACACACTTGAAATGTGATTTATTTAAGTGGCGAAAAAAACCTATTAATAAATCAGTCGCGAGTTTTTGTGTTTAAATATTTTTTAGTTTTTTTTTCGCACACATTAATCAGTTTTTTTATTCAGTCATTTAAACGATGAACTCATGTTTTTTCCGATCAAATGTGAGAAATATATATTTTTTTTTCAAAAAAAAAAAAWTTTGAAAAACATTTTATTATTATTTATATGATTTGTTTGTTTGTTTGATAATTATTTGGTTGTTGTTGTTGTTGTTGTTGTTTACACATATAGTTTTGAAAATATGTGTTGAGTTTAATAATCAATAAAAATCAATTGCTCTCATATTTTTTAGTGTCAATCAATTGCTTAATTGTTTTTTATTTAAAAAAAAAATTGAGAATATATTTTAATAAATATTAAATTTTTAAATTATATTTTTAATGGGAGTATTTAAATAGTATATAAACTAGTTTATAAAATCTTAAATAGTGTGAATAATTTTCTTATTTAGATTAATTAAATTGCTGTTATATTTGTTGATTTTAAACTATCATTAATTTTATTTAATGCATTTTATTTTGCAATTTAATATATTTATGTTTTTATTTTTTGTGCATAATTGCAAATATACTGTTGAAAWACAATATTTAGACTATTGATAAATATATATTTAAAATTTATTTAATTATAACTTTAATTGCATTATTTGAAAAGAAAATAATTAAAAAATATTATTGTCGACGCAAACTACATATATATATATATATATATATATAAAATAAAGTAATTTATAAATAAATTTTTAATATATTGCAAAAATTACTTGGACTGAAACACAAKTATCAAATGAGACATTTAAAATAAAATATAGTCTATATATATATATATATATAAGCTATTTTTAGTATTCAAAACTAATAGTAATTTATTTATTTTTTCATTTAAAAATATATATATTAGTTTGAAATTATGTGTTAACATGAAATCGTTATATATTTTATCAGTGATTTAGTCTAAAATATTTATTATTATTATTATTTATAAATATGTGACACAATTATATGGCACATAACTAACTAGTGCTTAAAATAATGATTATTATTTAATATATCTATTTTTCAAACAAACATCAAATGTTAGATTCATATTAATCATTCATTCAATCATTCATTAATGTTATTAATAATAATTAAGTAGATGTAATAAAATAATTTATTTATAAAAATAAAAACATTTAGGTTTTTTAATTTTATACACATTTTGTTGTTTTGTAAGTACCACTTATTAAATAAAATTTATATATAATATATATAAATATACAGTATATTAGATATTTTTTTACGATTTACATCAATAAAAGATATATATATATATATAAATTTACTAATTATAATAAATTAATAAATACATTAATATAATAATAATTACGAGAGAGAGAGAGAGAGAGAGAGAGAGAGAGAGAGAGAGAGAGACTAAATGGGACTATAATTTTACAAATTTTTAGGATTTTATTTTTCTTTAATAATTTATTTTTATTTTTTTTTTGGTGTATATATTAACTATTAAGGGTATGGATAATTAAAAATCCTTGAAAAATTWTTTGGAGATACATATATATATATATATATACAGTATATTTAATAAATAAATAAATACAATAATAATAATAGTAATAATACAAGAAAATCAAACCTTCAAATGAATTATATTTTCTTTGAATTACCAAATAATTTGAATTCAAGAAACGATTTGTAAAAATGTTTTTTTTTTCTAACTAAAGAGAGAGAGAGAGAGAGAGAGAGAGAGAGAGAGAGAGAGAGAGAATCGCTGCTATTAGTCACTAGAAAACCTGAAATCAAATAAATATATATATATATAATATAAAGATTTTATTTTACTTTTTAGTGAATTAAGCGATCATTAAATTTTTGGGAGAAAAAACAAATTATATGTTATTTGTTAAAAAGTAAAATATCAAAACCAATTATATGGAATAAATCAAATAAAAATTTTTGCATTTTTCCCATTGCTTTTCTATAATTGCAAATATATTTACTATACTATACTATACTATACTATATATTTAATATTATATATCATTTATATATATATATATATAGTTTTAATGCGAGAAACATTTTTTTCGCTACAATTTCTTTTAAGATTTTTTTTTGTTGGGTTTCATATACTATATAYATATATATATACTATTTTTAAGTTATTCAACGAAAAAAAAAATAAATTATTAACATTAAAACTGAATTTATTTATATATACAGTATGTATGTGTGTGTGTGTGTGTATGTATTAACAAACTAAACAACAACAAAAAAAATTACTCATAAAAATACATACATTTTATTATGAATCCTATATTAATACAACCCTTATTACAATTTCATTGCTATTTTTTTATTATTTTGATCCCCAAAAGATATGTTTATAGATTAATAATTTTATATTAATACAGTATATAATATATACTATATATATATATATATATATATATATTTTTTGGTTACATTTCTATATATTATTAAAAGTGTGTATCAAATAAAAAAAAACAATTTGTTGTTGTTTTATAKATATATATATATACACCGAAAATCAAATTTTTTTATATAGGAGGCACAGCAGCAGCAATAAAATTATTTAATATATTAATATGTATTGCAAAAAAAATCATTATTATTACATAGAAAATATATACACAACAACAACAACAAAAAATTGAATAATAATTTTTACATTTCAAACACATAATTACCGGCTTTGAAAAATTTTTACCATTTTATAGATACACACAAAAATTTTATTCATATTTTTTTTGATTTTGTTTTTTTATTCCCCAAAATGTGTATTGATTTGAATTATAAATTTTCTTAAATTTTCTAAATTATAATAATCTTAAATCTTTTTTTTGTTCAAAAAAAAACAGTACATAATTATCATTAGTAGTAATATTATTATTAGTATAGTATAGTATTATACTATAATATATATCATATTATTATTATCATATTATTTATTAAGTATTATATATATTAGTTTTTATACTGTGTTTTATTACTATTACTACTACTGTTTTTTAAATCAAAATAAATTTATAATAAAAAAAAATTTTATTTAATGAATAATATATTTTCTTCAAAAAGTAATTTATTATAACATTATTATTATTACTATTATTATTATTGTTGTTTATTAATTATTATATGYATTTTTTTATCTATCTATCTATCATATAATAACTTAAAAATTCAAATTAAATTTTTTTTAAAAGTCTAATAAAAAATATATATATGTTTTGCTTTCAGGCCTTTTCAAGTTTTAGTCGTCTATTACCGCATTCGGCTAAACACTTGGGTGCCCCGAAACCGGTACCGATTTACYTAACTGGCCGATCGCCCAGTCCTCCGACCAAAGATGACGACAATGCCGCCGGCGATAGTGATGCCGACAATGACGGCGTCGTCGGTGGCGGCGTTGGCATCGGCGGTGACGGTGACGACGATACCGAAGACGATGATGACGACGACGACGACGTCGGCAATGATCTCTCAATCGGTGGCCGACTGTCGGCTGCGCACCAGTTGACATCGGCATCGTCATCGCCGACCAATCTGTTCAATTTGATGAACCAATGGGCGGCCAATACGGCTGCAGCCGCTGCCGCAGCTGCTGCCGCCGCCACTTCCTCMACGTCCACSCTATCACTCAATAATAGCAATAGTTTGCTRAACGTTTCGTCAACCATAACCAGTCCGACATCGTTGTCCTTAAATTTTTCCCATTCAAACCCCATTACCGCCGCCGCATCGATGGCCGATCTATCCATGACTATGGCGTCGGCACTGTCATCGACCGCATCCTCACCTAAGGTATTGTCACTGAAAAAGTTTTTTTATTATTATWATTATTATTATTAATGACTTAATTATAAAATTTGATTTTATTTTTTTAGTTGGATTTAGTCGATGGCGGCGCCAATTGTCTTAAGCGCCGAAATTCAAATGAAGACATGACTATAGAAATAGCTAAACGATTGAAATTAAATAATAATAATATTAATAATAATARTAATTATTATTATTCAAATAAAATTAATAGTAATAGTAGTAAAAATAGTAGTACTAATAATATTAATAATATCATTAGTAATAATAATAATATTATTAATAGTAATAGTATTATTAATAATAATAATGCAAGTTTGAAGCTATTACGTGATGAACCGGTACCGTCGGGGTATGTCATGTAATTATGCCTTTTTTTTGTTTGTTTGCTTAATTATATCTATAATTTTACATTATATATATACTAATATATAGGTATATACATCTAGAGTTAGGGTATGTGTGTGTGTGTGTGTTTTTTTATTGAGGGTCAATTACATAATGCATGTGCACACACATACAGTACAGTACAATACATATATATATATATATATAGTATATAGTATATATATACAGATAGACACTGTATATCTATAATAAYAATAATAATCTCAGTTTCCTCTGAGAGATCTTGAAAAAAAGATATTATTATATTATAGATAAAGATAGATAAAACAAAAATATTTATTTAAAAAAATAAAAATTTAAAAAAAAACATTTTATTTTCTTGTGATTAATTGTTTTAGTAATTTTTTGTTTGTTTATATCATTTATATCTCATATATATATATAAAGGTATACAAGATTTAGATTTAATGAGGACTGCGGTTATACACACTGTGGATATCGTGAACATCAAACACATTTTCATTGCATGAGAAAAGTAAGTTTTAAAATAAAAAAAAAAATAAAAATTATTGTATATTATATATATAACTTATTATATAATAGCTTATAATTTATAATACACATATAAAAACTATATGTACTGTATATATCTACTATCATATATATATATATARTATATTTATTTATGTGGAAATATTTTTAGTATATTATTAATACTATATAGTTGTATATAAATTTCTATTTTAGACATAAAATAGAAATTATTTATTTATTTCAAAATACCTAACCCTTTATAACTTATAAAGTTTATATACTTACTAATAGTATAAACCATATAAATAAGYAATAAATAAATAAATAAAAAGTAGACATATTTAAACAACTTTAATGTCTATATATTTAAAATATAATATTTTTAAATAATTATTAAATAGTTTTTTTGAGACATGTTATTTATATATTTATTTTTTTATTATAACTAATAATTTTTGTTTTAAATAATTATTTTATTTATTTTTTATAGGACTGCGGYTATTCCTTCTGCGATAAGACCCGTTTCGTTCAACACACCGGTCAGTCATTTATTATTTAATTAATAATTTTTTTTAWTAATTTTTAATTAATAATTATTTTTTAAATATATATATAGCCCGTCACGAAAGRCTGGACACACTGATGGGCGGCGACTTTCACCAGTTCCGCAGTAATGTCAACTGCGGTCGCCGGGACTGTGTCTACGCCAATGCAGCCGCGGCAGCTGCGGCGGCCACCGCCRCCACCACCACAATGGCCAACAAGGCATCGCATTTTCATTGTATTAAATGCGAGTTTGTCTGTACGGATACCAACAAAGTGGTYGCCCATAGGCGCCAGCACGCAAAAATGGACAACATTACCGCCGCCGGTTTYGAAAAGTATAGCCCTGGCCAGGACTGTCGGGGCGATAGTTGCAACTATAACAGCAAACAAACCCATTATCACTGCCTTAAGTGTCACTATGCAGTCCTAGGACTGTCCCAAATGTCRTCCCATAAATACAAACACGACGATAATAATACTTAAAAAATATATAATTTTTAAACAAACAAAATATTTATATATATATATATATACTGTGAGTGTATATATATATGTTTGCTAATTGACAATTCAATTATATCTATATATATATATATATATATATATCTAATTTATTTTAATTTAATAATTATTATTTATGTTTATAATTAAAATACAATAGTATGTTAAATGCTATGACAATAATGTGAAAGTGCCTTTTTTAATAATTAATAAAAAAAACGGTTTATATATTAATTATATTATTATTATTAKTATAATTGAATATTTTTCATCCATGTACATTTACAGTATTCACACAYATATACACAACATACATACATACATACATACATACATACACATAGCCACGTATACATACACACCTGTAACTTTAACACACACACACACACACACACACATACATACATACATATATACACACCATATGAAATCCCGGTGTTATTTATATATATATATATATATATATAATATGTTATTATTATTATTATAATTAATACCTTATTTAATAAAAATTTATGCATTTATATAACTATATAATATATTTATAATAATACATCTACAATACATCTATAAAAAAAACTAAATGTTAATTTTTAAGTAATATTTAATTTTCAACAACAACAACAAAAAWTCAATCAATTTTTGCTACTATATCTAGTACATTTTTTTTGTTTGTTTGTTTCATTYAAAACATAATATTATTAGTATACATCACAAGTATTTATAATTATCATATTATTGATATATATATATATATTGTATAATTTATTTTATTAATACAGTGCCTCAATAATAATGACACAACACATATACAAAACACAACAAAACATTTACATAAATAACTTTTTTTTTAGAGACAACAAACAAGTTTTATTTTGTGTCAATTATTGTAATATTAATATTACAACATATATATATATATATATATATTTAAATTATATATATATATATATATTTAATATTGAATAATTTAATTATTTAAATATTTATAATAATGTAATGCCTTAATAATTATTAACATTCCCCGAACATTTTATTATTATTATTATTATTAGCAAATAATATCACAATTAATTTTTAATTTTATTTTGTCTCTCATTTACTTTTATACACTAATTCATCTATTGATCATTGATTTTGTGATTTTTTAATTAATTTTGAATTTACTCGTATTATTATTATTATTATATATTATTATTATTATTATTATTATATTATTATTATTACATCATTACCCGTGATATCTAGTTTTTTCTTAATTAATTAATATTTAGTATATATATATATATATTGTATTAATTATATTATAAATATTTTGTGTTTAATTGAATAAACTCTAAAAGGTTTGGGGAATTAAAAAAAATTAAATAAATAAATAATAAATAATTTTTTTTCGAAAAACTACTGTTTGTTTCTTRTTGTTTATATTTTTTATAATTTTTAAAATTCAATMAATTTTTTTATATCAATCAATTAGTTTTGYATTWGACAAACATATATCAATTGATGTGATTAAACAATATTATCATTAATTGTTAATATTTAGTTTCAAATTYATAAATTTATAATTGTTTTATTACAACAAATATTTGTTTTTATTTTATTTTTTTACTGAGCATTAATACTAATAATAATACAGTATTATTAATAATAATAATAATATTTAATTAATTTTATATATAAAAAATCAGATAATCTAAAAACAATTTAAAAACAATAATCAATTGAGTTTTGATTTTATTTCTATCCAATAGTTAATAATTTTTTTCAAAAATTAATTTCATGATAAGTTAACAAAGTTTTTATTTATTTATAAATAAACTATTTTATAATTAATTTAAATAATAATATAATTATAATTATATTTATATATATATATAAATTAATTAATTATATTTTTTATCTCTAAACTAAATATGGGCTAAAGTTGTAAACAAATTATAATTTTTTTTAGTTAATAATTAAAAATTGTATTTATATATATTTATATAAATATTTATATAATATGTTATGATATAATTTTTTTAAATAATGTATATGTATATAATAATTAAATTTTTAATAATACAGTAATAATAATAATAATAATAATAATAATACAATCAATCCATAAATATATTTAAATTATATATTAATTTTTATATAATATTATTTTTTGATATTTATTTGAGATATAATTCTAGCGAAACATTCATTATTTTTTATGTTTTTCAAAAAAACTGATTAACA